CAGCCCGATTCGTAACCACTACGCTACCAGAGCTCCTTTTACCCCCGGTTTAAATGAGTTTAGCCTGAGTTTTTGGTTGTCTATGTTGTTGTTTCCCCAAATTAGTTGATGTTAATGTAGTTAGAGTGAGTATTCTTTTTCTAAAACAGCCTTTTATAGCATAGAACCTGTGGAAGCCGGAACCTGTGTAAAGTGGAAAATGTCAAGAGAAAGAAAACTAAAATATTTTCCACTAACATGAGCGGTATAGTGCTAACACTCCATCGTATCAATGTTGAAAATCTTGTGAGACTCAAAAAACAAAGCAGTCCTGTTGTGTTTCAACTCACAGGTTTCACTGAGAGGTTCTGACAAGTTATAGTCACTCCTGCAGCCGCTCACGAGCAACCACCCCAAGCCATCGCGAGACCCGGTCTCACATCCTGGAGGCCACGCACGGACTACGTTTCCCAGAAGGTGTTGCGACGCGGGACCAATCTCGACGCGGCACTGGTGATGTTTTGTGCGTCTGCGCCATCTTCCGGCTCCAGGCGGCAAGTCCGCCGGTCCCAAGGAGAGAGCGGACTCTGGGCTGCCAGAGCGCAATTGCTCTAAGACCTGGACTTGAGGAAGCGACAGGTGAGGGGCTCCGGACCCTGTAAAGGGCTCTGGGGTCCGTGCAGGGTCTGGCGCCGCGGCTGGGCCAATCTAGGGCCTAGGAAGAACAGGAACGTGTATCCCCAACGTCGATCTACGTTTCTGGCACTGGACTACATTTCCCGTCAGCCCTCGCGGCGCTCGCCCTGCTGGCGCCCCCTTTCTGCGTTCAGGCTCACAGCCCGAGCCCAGGGACCCGTTAGGTGGGTATGAGGGTTCCCCCTGGCCCCCTGAAAACGTATACGGAAGTTTTGCATTAGTTCGCATGCGTCCTTTTTATTAGCTAGGATTCATCTTGTTTCTTGAGATTCTCAAAGAATTAATTGGAAGACTCCCAAAAGATTTAGAACAAGTTAACGTTAATTGCTGCTAACTGAAAAGTTGTGGGTTTAAACCCACCCAGTGGCTCTGCAGGAGAAAAAGCTGGTAATCTGCTTTTGGTAAAGATTACAGCCTAGAAAACCCTGTGGGGAAATTCTGCTGGGAGTCCAAGTCGACTCCACGGTACCCAACGGCAGGGTTGGAAGAGGTTGCCTGGGTGGTACATATGGTGTATGCATAATTAGTAGCTTCAGTGTTCGTGATTTGCACCCACCCAGCTGCGTTTCGTAAGAAAGGCCTGTGATTTGCAGCCATAAAGATTGTTAAGTGCCGTTGAGTTGGTTCTGACCCATAGCAACCCTGTATAAGGTTTCCAAGGAGTGACTGGTGAGCTTGAACCGCCGACCTTGCAGTTCAAACCGACTTTGCTGTCCTGCGCATTAGCGTCCAGCGTCATGGGACAGTTCTAGTCTGTAAACAGAGACTTCCACCTGGCAACATGCTTAGAGAATCATATTCCAAATCCATATCCAACAATAGGAAAATAGTTGAATACATCAAGGTCCACCCTTGTAATGGAACCTTATACACCTAACTCAAATCAATCTTATCACAGGGATCTTAATGAAGAAAAAAGGCCCACTACATAATGTTAAACAAAATGCATCAGTGTTTCATTTACATATGATTTAGAATCAAGTGTTTGTAACATGCGAAGCACTGTCCTAAGCACTTTTACAAAGTAGTAAAGCCAACCACCTGCTGTCAAGTTGACACAACAACCCGATGTGTGTCAGAATAGAACTCAGCACCATGCAGTATTCAGTGAAGGATTCTGCAGACGTAAAATGCTAGAGCTTTCTTCCTGCAGAACACCAGGCACTCGTCTAATGCTGAACCGAAGAGGTGGTTAATACATGGCTATTTTCTATCCCAGTTGCGTTTATTTTCAGCATTTGTTCTCTGGGTGGGTTTGATTTCTCTGTGCTTAATGTGGCCACACTGGAGAAAGGATCTAGATGTGAATATCTCTGTCAGTTCATGTTGCCTAACGTCAGCTGTCAGAGAGGCTTGACGTTCCAGTCTGCTTCCTTAGAGAACCCTTGGAAACCGTAGAGGCCTTTGTGTTCCACCCTATTATAGGGTCGTTATGAGTTGGACTTGATAGCACACAACAGTGGCCTTTCATGAGGTCACTCATGAGCCAGAGCCAACTTGAAGGATCACTGGACCAGGTCTGCACATCATCGCTGGTTCAGATTTCTGTCAACAAAGCTAAATTTCTTCTCTTTTTAGGGGAAATTTTAGGTCCGCTTTATCCCTGACTCCTTGCAGGAGCTGAGTTTCCTGGAGTTCGGGTGAGGACCCTCTCATTTGTGTGGTGGTGGTGATTGGCCTTCTGGGAGCTGGTCTCACGTTTGCTCTCTCCTCCCCCAGCTCTGCCGACTCAGGACTCCGCCCTTTTCCAAGAGGACGATTCCGCAACTCTGACATTCAAAAAGCCATGTCCCTCGTGAGTTTTGAAACCATGTAAATATTTGCTTTCCTTCTCCTCGAACTTCCCACCCGGGGTTCCACCCAGCCACATAGCTCTCAGATGCTCTCTTTGAAGGGATTGGAAGGACCAGACAGCGAGTGCCCTCTCCCACAACCTCCCTGTCTCCCACCGTGCTCACGGGCGCTCGACACCTCCTAGAAGCTCATCTTCTGCCGGGAGGCCCAGTGGGGCCTCCACATCCTCGTGGGAAATGAGAGCGCAGGTAGAGCACTCGCTCAGCTGCCCACCTGCCACTTCATGGGCGAAAGATGGGGCCGTCTGCTTCTGTGAAGAATACAGCCACGGAACCCCAAGGGCAGCTCCACTCAGCTCCACCTGATGTCAGTTGGTTGGGGAGGAAAATGAGGGTTTCCCTTCCGGAACCCAAGTTGGATGAGACGGCGGTGATTAGGTGTGTGTGGGGGGGGGTCTCACGTTGAAAAGCGGAGGTCATACTGTTTTTGTCAGTTCTGACTCACAGCGACCCGGTGCACAACAGAATGAAACCCCTTCCGCACCTGCACCATCCTCACAAGTGTTTGCGCCCGTGGCTGCTCCGTTGTGTCACGCCGCCTTGTTGGGAGCCTTCTTTGTCCCGGGCCCCCCACTGCACTAAGTCATGTTGACTGGTCTCAGCATCGGAGTGTGGTGATGTCTACAGCGGAAGGGTTTTACGATGGGCATGTCTTAGCGCGAAAGCTGCTAGGACAGAAATCCCACCGACCTCTTGAACAAACAGAAATGTCTTCTCAATTAGTTGTTCAGATTCTGACCCATAGCGACCTTGCCTACAGTTTGCCAAGGAGCAGCTGGTGAGCTTGAACTGCCGACCTTGCAGTTCAAACCGACTTTGCAGCCCCACATTAGCCCACAGCGCCACACCAGGACTCCCTGTCTCACAGTTTAAGAATCTAGAAGTCCAAAGTCAGACCGTTGGCTCTGGAGAGAGATCTTTGCCTCCTTTCAGCGTCTTTAGGCCCAGCATTCCTTGGAGGTCCCCACGTGACTTCTCATCAGTCTGTCCCTGGAGCTAGGAGCTTCCCACATCCAAGGGATGCACTCCACGCCCGGCTTCCCTTTCTTGTGAACTCTGCTTGTGTGTTAAATCACTTCTTTATCTCCCAAGATGCTGACTCGGCATACAGCCTAATTGTTGTTAGGTGCCATCAAGTCGGTACCGACTCATAGTTACCCTATGCACAACAGAACGAAACAGTGTCCGATCCTGGGCCAACCTCACAATTATTGCCACGCTTGAGTCCATCAATGCTGCCAACCCATCTCGTTGGATTTTCTCTGACCCTCCATCTTACCAAACATGATGTCCTTCTCCAGTGACTGGCCCCTCCTGACAAATGTGTCTGAAGTATAAGACATGAAGTCTGGCCATCCTGGCCTCCAAGGAGCACTCTGGCTGCACTTCTTCCAACACAGATCTATTGGTTCTTTTGGCAGCCCATGGCACTTTCAGTATTTTCCTCCAACACCACAACTCAAAGGCATCGATTCTTCTACGCTCCTCCTTATTCACTGTCCAGCTTTCACGTGCATCCTAGTTAGTATTGCAGAAGTGAAGGGCTGGTCCCGCCTGATCACATCCGATCTCATCATGGGCATTACTATGTCTTAACTGCTAAGCCCACTGAGCACTCCTTGGAAGCCCTAGACAGGGTCGCCGTGAGTCAGAACCAACTCAATGGCATAAAGCAGCAGCAACCACAGCTGGCAGACCACTGGGAACCCTGACCATCTCCGTGTGAGACTGGGGCTCACGTGGACTCCATGAGCAACCGGACACTAGAATTAAGGTCTAGTTTGAGGTTGAACGGAGTGTGAATCGGAATCATCCTCTAGTTTCAGAGCAACAGAGGTGCCGAGCTGGGAGGGTGGGGGAGCACAGGTGAGAAGATCACCTCAGTGGACAGTCTTCTATCTAGATGGCCGGGACCTGGAGGGCTCTCCCAAGATCTGATCCAACTTCTGCATCCAAAGTTAAGAGAATGGTTGAGTCACTGTACATGTGATGAAGCACTATAAAGCTAATAAGAGCTGCCTCCGTTCACGACTTGTGTCATACAGAAAGAGGCCCGTGGTATGTTCTGACGTAGTAATGAAACCACGTCTTTAAGAGGAGCTCTGGTTTCACAATGGTTAGAATAACTGGCTGCCACCAGAAAGGTTGGCGGTTTGAACCCACCCTCCAGCTGTGCCGGAAGACCTGGTGATGGACCCCCATAAAGATTTGTTGTTGTTGTTGTCAGGTCAATTCTGACCCATAGCGACCCTGTATAATAGGGTTTCCAAGGAGCAGCTGGTGAGCTTGAACCGCCGACCTTGCAGTTCAAACGGCTTTGCAGTCTGATGCATTAACCGACAGCGCCACACCAGGACTCCGTAAAGATTAGGGTCTGGAAAATGCTCAGCTCTGTCACACGGGATAGCATGGAGCTAAAAACGGACGTGGCTGTATCGACAGCAACATCCTTGAGACACTCTCAACTGATAGTAAAGTCATGGTTTTTCTAAGATTGCTTGTAAAATTTGGGGGAAAAGGCCATCCAGTTTTGTTCAGTTTTATTATTTCATAAAGATAGAAATGGTGAGTCACACGGCAAAGGAGCACAGTATGGGCAATTATTAGACTGTTGCTTAGGGTCGGGAAAATGCCATTTCACAGGATTTTAGTTTTCCCCCCACAAGAGCTTTTGGTTTGGGCTCAAGAACGTTGGTTTGAACTCTTCTCTGGTGTTTCTAAGGAGGCCTGGTGGTACAGTGATTAAGTGTTTGCTAACCGAAAGATTGAGGCTCGAACAAAACACTGCCCCTTTGCAGGTGTAGTCCCAGCCTCACAAACCCTCTGGGGCAATTCTGTTCTGTCCAGCAGGGACGCTGTGAGTGAGAATCGATTCAGTGGCAACAAATTGAGTGTTTGGTTCATTTTACGAGGGGGCTTCAGAAACTTTGTGGAAAAATGCATTTGTAAGCTAATGGAATTTTTCCACGAACTTTTTGAAGTCCCCTCGTATTTATGCTCATTTCCTTCCTATTGTCCCACTCAATAATTCCTACACTAGTTTGCTCAGTGACATTGGTTCCAGTCTTCACAATGCATGAACATCCTCACAGTTTCCATTCTGGTGGTTCCATTTCCATTCATCTAGTTTCCCTTAGCTTCTCATCTGTGTTTTAAAGTCGCTGTTGACTGGTGTCATAGGAGTCAGAAATGACTCAGCAGCCACACGGGTTTGTTGTTTTGTTTTGGTCTCATACAGATGAGTTTTTAAAGGAGCATAACACTTGCCAACCCCCAGGCTAGTTTCTCAGAACCACTTCTCCCTGAAAAGACCTCCTTCCTCTTCTCTCGTCTGCTCATTGTGACATAGCCACGTACTATACATGCTTCTTTTTCCAGGGGTCCATCTTGTTCAACGATGTGGCCATTGTCTTCTCCCAAGAAGAATGGGAACAGCTGGTGCCTGCTCAGAGGGACCTGTACAAAGACGTGATGCTGGAGACATACCACACCCTAGTTTCGCTGGGTAAGGTGGCCTGGGCGTACTTTGGACATGACCCTGTTGGGAGGCATCTGTATTGCTTCCCGGTTCACTCCCAGAAGGCTTTCAGTGGAAAGGCAGCCCCATCCTCAGCATTGGGCTCCTTTGAAACCCACCTGCATGAGACCCAGACGAAACAAACCCCTGTGGCTTCTGAGTCATTTCTGACTCCTATGACACCAGTCAACAGTGACTTTAAAACACAGATGAGAAGCTAAGGGCACAGGGAAACTAGATGAATGGAAATGGAACAACCAGAATGGAAATCGTGAGGATGTTCATGCATTGTGAAGAATGGAACCAATGATACTGAGCAAACTTATGTAGGAATTACTGAATGGGCACCTACACTGCTGTGACATATTATTAAGACACTTGGCTGTGCTGTTAAGTGTCACCAAGTTGGTTCCAACTCACAGTGACCCTATATAGACTTTCTGAGGCTATAACTCTGTGGGAGTAGACCGTCCTGCCTTTATCCCACAGAATGACTGGTGGACTTGAACCACTGACCAGTGGTCCAGAGCCATTTATTTGTACTTCCTTTAAGCATTATGTTGTTGTTAAGTGCTGTCGAGTTGGTTCGGACTCACTGCAACTCGATGATGCCTAACAACAATAACATAATAATGAAATACGCTGCGTTTTATTACACTATACGAGGGAGACTTCACAAAGTCTGTGGGAAAGCTGAGTTAAGTGATGATGGAATTTTTCCACAAACGTTTTCCAGCCCCTCTTATGACAATAAGGAATGAAGTAATGGTACTTTCTTTCCCTTTTGTAAGGCAGCCCCATTGGTTAGGGTTCCATCGTCCCCTTCCTGTAACCCCCTGCCCTGCTCAGTAATCAGGCCCTCCCTGTTTCTGGATTTTGGGACTCCCACCCCATAAACGGTGGCATGGTTTTTCTCCTCTCCAGGTCTTACCATTTCCAAGCCTAATGTGATCTCCTTCCTGGAGCAAGGAGAAGAGCCCTGGTTGGGAGAGAGGGCAGTGACAGGAGGCCTGGGCCCAGGTAAGGAGGCAGTACCATTGGGGAGTGGGTCACGGGTCCTGTGGTGTGTGTGTGTGGGAGCCGACCTTGCAGGTAGAGAGCATTCCCGCCGAGTTGCCAGGTCTGGAGGTCGGGCCTCATCGGAGCGTTTGACAAAGGTCCGTGCTCTTTCCTGAAGCGTTTCTGTGTCCTTGGGTCATCACTGGCCTTCCGCTGACCTCCTAAGAGGCTCCTCAGCCTTGTTTGCTGGAGCACCCTGGGCTTGGACCGAGGCCCTTCTTGTCTTTGTTTCCATTCCTTAGGGATGCTCTCAGCTCTCCCGTGTTGTTGTAACAGAAATACCATAAGGGAGTGGCTTTAACAAACAGAAATGTGCTTTCTCACAGTTTATTCAGTGCCGTCGAGTCGGGCCTGACTCACAGTGACCTGCATAGGGTTTCCGAGGAACTGCTGGTGAGTTTGAACCTCCGACATTACGGTCAAAGTGACCTCGAGGTCCAGGACTTCTCCTGTGCCATCAGACCAGGACTCCCTCGTCCAGTCGAGGCGGCCAGAAGTCCGAATTCAGAGCGTCGGTTCTAGGGGAAGGCTTTCTCTCCGGTTGGCTCTCAGGAAACACCCCTGTTCCAGAATACCTGTGTTGCGGAATGTCAGCCATAGTTTGTTATTATCCACAAAGTGGACTGTCTTTGCATGGTCAGTAAAACACACGTAAACATCTTACGGGTGCTCTTGTTTTCAGCCAAGCCCCAGCTGACATCAGTGGTAGCCTTTGTACCACATCCTCTTCGGAATCCAGCTTCAGTGTCTGGCTGCAACCAGTTTTGAAATCTCTTAGCAGAATTTTACTTGGATGTCATATTAGTGATGTCGTTTAGAAACTTCCACATTCCGGTGGGTCAGTTTTCTCGGGAATGGACTGGAATAGGAATCTCTTTCCGTTGTTGTCTTCCAAATTTCTTGGCATGGATGAGTGAGTACTTCCAGCATTGGATCTCTTTCAGCATTTCCACTGGTATCCTGTCAGTTCCTGGAACCTGGCGTTTCTGCTTGTGCCTTTTGTGTACCTTGGGCTTCTCCCTTCGATACTGTCGGCTCATGATGATATGCTTCCTCCGGAAATGGTTGAATGGCCACCCAATTATTTTGGTCCAGTAAGTCTTTGTATTCTATCTTTGGGCCACATTGTAATTTGAGCCTTGAATTTTGTGCTCGAGAAACGTCAAACAGTTTCTTCCTCTTGACTTTCTAGCTCCAGGTCTTTGCACATTTCATTATAACACTTTGCCTTGGGGAGCTGCCCTTTGAAATGTTCAGATCTGTTTTTTTTTTTTTTAATGTTTTATTGTGTTTACATGGGAGAACATTAGTTTTACATTCATTCTATTGTATATCGTATCATCGCCATGGTTACAATCCCCTCCATGCATCATCAACCAACCAAAGGGTATACCCCACAAGCCTGCCTCCTGGTCGTCAGCACACAGCCCCTCTCCCTCTCTGGGTCTAGAGTCCCCAGCCGCCCCATCTCTCCACATCATCATCTCTGCCTCCATCTCTGGCATCACTATTTCTCTGGGTAGGGTCCCACACTCCGCTCTTCTCCTTTGATGATCCCAGGGACCTCTGCTCCTGGACTTCAAAGTCAATCACTCCCCTCCTTTTGCTACAAAACATCCACCTTGACATGAAATGTTCAGATCTTTTAATTCAGCATTTCTTCCATTCACTTTAGCTGTTCTGAGTTCAGGAGCAAGTTTCCGAGTCTCTTCTGACATTCCAGTTTGTTTTTTTTCTTTCTTTCCTGTCTTTGGAATGGCCTCTTGCTTTCTTCATGTGTGATGTTTTTGATGTCATCTCACAGTTCATTTGGTCTTCCGTTATTAGTTGTCAATGTGTCAAATCTATTCCTGAGATGGTCTCTAAATCCAGGTGGGATATACTGAAGGTTGTACTTTATCTTTCGTTGACATATTTATTTATGTATTTAATCTTCCACTTGAACTTGCATATGGAAAATTGATGGTCTATTCCATAGTTGGCCCCTGGCCTTGTTCTGATTATCGAGCTTCTCCATGGTCTCATTCCAGAGACGTAGTTCATTTGATTCCTGTGTCTGCCAGCTGGTGAAGGCCACAGGTAGAGTTGTTGTGTTGTTGGAAAAAGGTATTTCTGATGAACAAGTTGTGGGTCTTAGAAAATACCATCACGTCATCATTTCTGTCACCAAGGCCATATATTCCGACTACCAATCCTTCTTTGTTCCCAGCTTTTGCATTCCAGTCCCAAGTAATTATCCCTGTGTCTTGATTGCATGTTCAGTTTCAGACTGAAAAAGTAGGTAAATAGGTTCCGTTTCCTTCCTTTTGGGCATTAGTGATTGGTGTGAAAATTTGAGTTTATTGCAGGATAATATACTGGACCACAAGGTCGGTGGTTCAAACCCACCAACTATTCCTTGGAAGCCCTATACAGGGTTGCTATGAGTTGGAAGTGACTTGATGGCACTTTACAACGACAACAACGTATTAACTAGTTTTCCTTGTAGGCATGTGGCTGTCACCCTGTCACTGACGTGGTCTTTTGATGGTGAATGTGATGCCATTCCTCTTCAGTTTGCTTTCCCCAGCGTAGCAGACCATATGTTTGCCCACTTGGCCATTATCTGCTTCCTGACGCCTAGGATACTGACCTTTGTCTATTCCCTTTCATTTTTGAGGACTTCTCATTTTCCTTGATTCATATTTTTTGCATTATATGTCGTGGTTGCTAATGGATGTTTGCAGCTGTTTTTTCTCATTGTTAAGTCTGGCCACATGTGCCAATGAAGGTCTCAGAGCTTTACTCCATGTACGTCAGCCACTAAGGTTGACTGTCCTTTCGGGAGACATATTCCAGTACCTTTCAACCTGAGGGACCCATCTTCCGGCATCATTCCGATCCTGTCTGGCTGCAGTCCGTAAGGTTGTCTGGCCTTTTGCAGAGAAGTATCTCCCCAGGCCTATCTTCCTGCTCCTCCTCAGTCTGGAAGCTCCACTGAAGTTTGCCTACTGCGGGTTACCCTGCTGAGATTTGAAATACCAGTGGTACAGCTGCCAGCACCACACAAGCCACCACAGTACCAGAGACTGGAAGTCCAAACCCAGGCCTCCGCTTCTAGGAAACTCTTCCTCCCGGTCAGCACTCAGGGAAGGGCCTCATTTTTTTTTTTGAGCTTCTGTTTCTTGGCTCCATGGAGATCTTATATGGCGAGACATCTCTTCCCCCATCTCTGCTTGCTTGCTTGCTTTTTGGCTTGCTCAGTCTGCTCTGTATCTGTCTCAGAAGAGATTCACTTAAGACGCTTCACCCCACACGAATACTACCTCACCAACATGGTAGGTTCAGATGTTTTGTTCGTGGCCTTTCTAAGGGATGAGGATGGTTTCTCAGTCCAGTGCCATTGTTCATTTCTCATACGATGAGTGAGTTTGAACATCTCACATTTGTATTTGCAGTATGGTAAGCACTGGACTGTGAACCACAGCTGTAACTGTTGACTATTTGGTTTCCTGTGGATGATTTTTTTAAAGGCGCACAGTAGTCATGGGAGATACTGTTTATTGTATTTGATTGCTTTTTTAAATGTAAATTTGTGACTCATGAGTAGAAATGGAAAGGCAGGAACCAAGGGGTTCGAACACTAGTGAAATCCGTAACAGACTGTCCCCAGCAATGTGTGAGACTTAGTTTCTCAGTGTGTGTAAAAATGGTCTGGTGGAGACATCTGACCTCTTCTAATTTCATAAGGTGGAATCCTGGTGTGGCACTGTAGGATAAGCACTAGACTGTAGACCTCAAGGTTGGTAGTTCAAACCTACCAGCCACTCCTTGGAAACCCTATACAGGGCCACTCTGAATTGGAGCCAACTCAATGGCAGTTAACAACAGCTGTCTCCTGAGGGGTTAGAGTCACCATCAGCGGCGGTCCAAGGCCGATTCCTGTGACGCAGAGATGCCACCGGGGCTTCTGACGTGTGATCAGTAATAATAATGGGAGGCCTAGCTGGACCCCTAGGTCGCCTTAACTCATGGAGCACGTGTGGGAATCAGGACAAACTAGAGAACACCAGTGGTGCATCTGTTTGGTTTAATGTGTTCCGACGTCTCTGATGAGTACCCTCATTTTTGTATACTTCTTCCATCTTCTACTTGTCCCTTTTTCTAATGAACCACAGCTGAGAGTTTATAGGCATTATTTTGAGACTCAGCTGTTCATCTTTACTATAGAAATTCTCTTTCTCTAGAAGACAAGACAAAACAGAACATACACGTTTTTTTTTGCTCTCTTCCAGTCCTGGAGTCTGGACCAGATACCAAGGTATCGCCGTCAAAGCGCCATGTTTGTGAAGTAGAACCACCGCGGGGGCAAGGCCTGGAAAACCTTACAAGCTATGAGCCTGACTGTTGCCAAGCCAACTGGGATTGCAGAGGCCAGCTGGACCGAAAGCAGGGAAATACAGACAGGCATTTCAGTTCAGTGATAATCAGTGAAATGCCCTGTTTGGGCCAGCAGACATCCCTTACATTTTATCAGAAAATCCACACTGGAGAAAAACCCTATGGTTATAATAAATGTGGAAGAGAATTCTGGCCGGAGGAATTCCTTATGAGTCATGAAGGAATTCATACGAATGAGAAACCTTACAAATGCCAGGACTGTGGGAAGGCCTTTAAATACGGCTCTCGGCTCATTCAACACGAGAATATCCATTCTGGTAAGAAGCCCTACAAATGCCAGGACTGTGGGAAGGCCTTCAATTCAAGCTCCAATTTCATCCAGCATCAGAGAGTTCACACGGGCGAGAAGCCTTATGAATGTAAGGATTGTGCAAAGGCCTTTAGTCGAAGCTCACAGCTGATTGAACACCAGCGGATTCATACGGGTGAGAGACCCTATCAGTGTAAGGAGTGTGGCAAGGCCTTCAATCGGATCTCACACCTTAAAGTCCATTATAGAATCCATACTGGTGAGAAACCCTACGCATGCCAGGAATGTGGGAAGACCTTCAGTCACCGGTCTCAGCTGACTCAACACCAGACGATTCACACCGGCAGGAAACCCTACGAGTGTGAGGACTGTGGGAAAGCCTTCAATCAAGGCTCGACTCTCATTCGACATCAGAGAATCCACACGGGCGAGAAACCCTATGAGTGTCAGGTGTGTGGGAAGGCCTTCAGGGTGAGCTCGCAACTGAAGCAACATCAGAGGATCCACTCGGGGGAGAAACCCTACGAGTGTCAGGTGTGCAGTAGGGCCTTCAAGCGAGTGTCCCATCTGAGTGTACATCACAGAATCCATACAGGAGAGAAACCATATGGATATAAGGAGTGTGGGAAGGCCTTCAGTCACTGCACGCAGCTGGTCCAGCATCGAGTCCTTCACCCTGAGGAGAAGGCCTATGAGTATAAGGGGTGTGGGAGGCCCTTCAGCCATGACTCAGCAACTGCTCAGCGCCCGCGAATGTGTACTGGAGAAAGCCATGTGACTATCAGAACTGTGGACACGCCTCCCATCAGCACCTACCCCTTACTGATTATCAGAGAACTTATGTTAGCCAGCAGCCACGTGAGTGGAAGTCACGGGGAAAGCCCATTAGCTTAGCTACAGCAGCAATCACAACTCACTCACGTGGTCACACACAGGTTACCTTCTACCCTGAGTCGGAAAACACACCCACAAATAGAGCTGTGTCTTTTATAAATGTACAGACAGATGTTTGTCAAAATAATAGGAAAAAGTTGGCATTTTTTCTATCAATGACAAGATCCAGAATCTCATTTTGTAACCATAGTGTAACACTTTTAAGAATAAAGTAGCCAAAAGTGTTCGTTTTATTAGAAATTAAAAGAGAAAGCAATGCAAACTAGCGAAGTTACTATTAGGCTAACAAGGAAATAAATTGCAATCACCATATGAGGACAAGACCAGTGAGGGTTTCACATGCCAAGAGCTGTACTCGGGATCTTTATACAGGCATGCCTCATTTTTCTGCACTTGGAAGATAATCACATTTACAAATAGTCTGTAAGGAGCTCTGGTAGCGTAGTGGGTAAGAATTGGGCTGTGAACCGCAAGGTCAGCAGTTTGAAACTACCAGCTGCTTCGTGGGAGAAAGATGAGGCTTTCTGCTCCCCTAAGGATTTACAGCCTCGGAAACCCTGTACAAGGTTGTTATAAGTTGGAACTGACTCCACGGCACTTAACAACAACAACTAGTGTGTGGCAACCTCGCATTGAGCACATCTATCGGTACCACTTCCCAACTGCACATGCCCATTCCTTGTCTCTGTCACATTTTGGTAATTCTCACAATATTTCAAAGTTCTTCATAATGCTGATGGATTATGTGTAAACATTTATGCAGACTGGGAAACAAATTCGTTTGACTCACTTGATGGTGATGTTCACTTGATTTCAGTTTTTTCAGGTAACTTAACCAAACGTGCGATCTCTCTAAGGTTTGCCTGTAGCCTTAAGGTGTATGCATTTACATGTGAAAACCCAAAAAAATTATACAGAAATAGAATACAAGCATCCACACCATGAAAGAACACAGTAACAGAAAATAAAGACAGAGTGATGAAGTAGAAAGTGGTCATCTTACAATCATTTCTGCTTTTATTTCTCCCTGATCCAGGAATAACCTAATTTTAGGAAAGTGTTTCTTAATTTCCAAGTTGTTAAATTGTCTTGGGATTGTCTTTTTAGGATTTCTTCTGTCACAGACAAGTGTTTGTTGCCTACCCAGCGGCCATAGCCAACTTCCCCTGCTAGTCAGTCAGCATCTGTGTCTTCTGTAGACTCTGAAGATGCCTGGTACTACGTCTCCCCTAGCCTCCTGTTAGCTCAGGGTGGATGGATGTCCGTGCTGGTCAGTGGGATATGCCAGCAACTTGGGAAGCAGTTCCCGCCTTTAGGAGAGACAGACACACAGACATACCTGAGTTTACTGTGTTTCCTTGACTACACCTCACAGATAATTGTGTTTTGTGCAAACCGAGGGACTACAGCACACTTCACCCAACAAGCCTTTCTGGGGCCATTTCCTGACAGCTTATGCTCACTTGGTGTCTCTTTATCCTATTTTGGTAATTCTCATAATACTTCAACTTTTTCATATGCTACTGCTAACCTGGAAACCTGGACGGTGGTTGTTAAGTACCATCGAGTCAGTTCTGACTTGTACCAACCCTGCATACCGTTCTCAAGGAGTGACTGGTGGGTTTGAACTGCCGACCTTGCGGTTAGCAGCCCAGTGCTGATCCTACAGCGCCACACCAGGACTTAGTGCTAGACTGCTAATCGCAAGGTCAGTTGTTCACGCCCACCAGCGGCTCCTGAGAAACCCTATACAGACTGTCGCTGTGATTTGGAAGTGACTCAAAGGCACTTAATTTTAACACCACCACCATTGCTTACTTAATAGACTGCGATTTATGGTGGTTATGTGCCATGGAGTTGGTTCTGATTCATAGTGACCCTGTACAGGGTTTCCGAGACTGTAAATCTTTACGGGAGCAGAATGCCTCATTTTTATCCTGTGGAACAGCTGGTAGTTTTGAACTGCTGATCGTGAGGTTCGCAGCCCGATTCATAACCACTACGCCACCAGAGCTCCTTACTAGAGTGCAGCATAGTGTAAACAGGACTTTTATGTGAACTGGGAAACCGAGCAATCTGCATGCCTCACCTTACTGTGGTGGTCTGGAACGGATCCTGCCATGTCGCCAAGGTTTGCCTGTGCTCAGAAGGCTCCCTCTGCCCTCACTTCCGGTTTGTAAACACTTTACTGTGAGAATGCTGCTGCCGCTGCCATGGTAACACCAAGAGGGGCAAACAGGACCTGGGAGAAAGTGCCCCAGAACTCGCCAGCACCGAGCTATTCCGCCAGGTCTGGAGCTACCTTTCCCTGATGCCGTATTTGGTAAGAAAAATAAAACTTAACTGGCATTGCTTTTAGTTGGGTATTTGGTAAAATTTCAACCTAAAGCATCCTAAGTTATTGAACTCTGATTTTTCTGTTGTTATGATTGGTAAAAGTGAGCTGAAAATACATTTATTGATGTGTGGGTGTTCCATTGAAAGGGTACATATACTCCACTTTCTTAGGATACAGATTTCTGAACTATTAAGCCTGTAGATTATGACAGGAGTCCTCATGTTCTGTACACAGCCAATCCTGGTTGCGAACAAGATCTGTTCTGAAGTCTGTCTTTAAGTCAAATTTGTATGTAAGTCAGAATAGGTACAGATAGTTCTTTAGTGCCAGCCCAACTTTGTCTTACAATATAGTATATATTCATACTTTGGACATATCATCAGGACGGACCAGTCCCCGGAGAAGGGCAGCAAGCTTGGTAAAGTGGAGCGTCAGCGAAAAAGAGGCCAACCCCCAACGAGATGGCTTGACACAGCGGTGGCAACAGTTGGTTAAAACATCACAGTTGTGGGGCTAGCACAAGACTAGGCAGTATTTTGTTCTGTTTTGCATAGGTTCGCTACGAGTCAGAACCAACTTGACAGCACTTAATAACAATACGCATAGAAAACTCTAAGAAATGCTTCCAAATACACTGAAACATCTTGAACGTAATGTTAAGTGCCACTGAGTCAGTTCTGGCTCAGAGCCTTCTTGTATAGGGTTTCCAAGGAGCGACTAGTGAGCTTGAACTGCTGACCTTGAAGTTCAGACCAACTTTGCAGTTTAGCACATTAACCTGTAGCACCAGACCAGATCTCCTTACACATAATACAGTACAGGCAGCCCCCAGGTTACCAAGATCTGACTAACGTACAACCTATAGTTAGGAACCAACCCGTGTACAGCCTATTGTATGAAAATTTCAAGGAACAGTACAATGCATCATAATAACAAGTGGGTGCTACTTTGTATAACATGTTAAAACACTATCCTGTAGTATGTTAAAGATGTTGTATAGTGAGCATGAAGGCGCTTACTTAATGCAGAGAAAGGTACACCATATACTATAAGCATCAAACATTTGACTTGTTGGCATTAGCTGTGAACCCTATTTAACTCCCAGATTATGACTTCCATACAAACTACAAACTGGATTTACTAGGAATGGAGTTCATTCATAATCTAAGGACGGCTTGTGATACAGTAACTTCGTGTGGCTCTATTATAGAATAGTGCAAAGCTATTTTGTACTATTAAAAAAAACCAACCAACTAGTTCCTCAAACAGTTTAGATGAAAAAAAAAAGGTAAATGATTCATGGTTAAAACTTCTATCAATGTCTTGCTTACCCCAAGGAACAGTCAAAAGATTCGAAAGAATAACAGAAGGTCCTGGGTAGAGTGAGAGAAAAATTAAAATCATAAGAAAGACCAGGTCTACTGGCTGGCTGGAGACCTGCGTTCAGAGTCAGCTCCGGGCCCTTCCTCACCCTTCATGTCTGGAGATGAACTCATCCCATGGCTCAATTTTAAACCTAAGGATAGACCTATAAGGGGAACAATGACACTAGGAAGGTAGCTACACTTTAGGATGATCAACCACTGGGACCAAAAAGGCAGCTTTTTCCCAGTCCTGGGGTGGCAGCGCTGTGGGCTTAGGCACTAGACTGCAAAGCCATTTGAATCGTAAGGTTGGCCGTTCAAGCTCACCAGTTACTCCTCGGAAACCCTACACAGGGTTGCTAGACAGCACTTCACAACAATTCCAAAATGAAGTTCAGAAGGGTTAGGAAAGTAGAAACAGGAAACTCAGAGAGGCAATAGGATAAACGTTGCATTGGGAGGATTGCTTAGGGAGTGAATGGAAAACCGATTCACACTCATAAGTCAAAACACAAGGTCACTGAGGTGGGAGCACCTTGAAGATGATGGCTTGTGCATCTCACTGTCTCAGTGTTGCTGGGACAGAAATCTGGGTGAGTGGCTTTGGAGAGCAGAAATGTATTTTCTCCCAGTTTGGGAGGCCGGAAGTCTTAAGTTTAAGGCTCCCACTCGTGAGGAGGGCAGTCTTGGTCCTCTCTGGGGGAAGAGTTCTAGTTTCTGTGATCCTGCACACCTAGCTGCCATGTGTCTCGTCTGCTCTTGTGAGATCTCAAATGTGAGTAGGTTTGACATAACCTGGGAGTCCTGGTGTGTCACTGTGGGATAAGCACTGAACTGCTAACCACAAGGTCAATGGTTCAAACTCACTAGCTGCTCCTTGGAAACCCTATACAGGGTCGCTGTGATTCAGAACCCACTCCAAGGCATTTAATAAGGACAACATTGAGAGGGTCTCATTAACATAACAAATCTCTGTTGCCACATGGGATTTTATCCACAGGAATATGGGTTATGCTTCCAACGCAAAGACTTTAGGGCTGTAATGTAATTCTGAACAGCTGGGGAGTCCGCTCCGAGTCCCTCGGGTTTCTTAGTTTGGCCTCTTTCGCTCACACACGCCTCTCTACTTCTCTCCACATGGAGAGAGAAGCCAGCTTTGATTTACAGTTTGTCTCCTTCTTACATCCTACCCGGTTATGACAAACCCGGTTTGTTGTTGGTTTTTAGTCCATCTTACCATTAGTAATAATACTACAGACAGTGGTGCAGCGCATAATTTACTGCTACAGTTATTCTCA